AAAGGTTGAAAGGCAGTAAATGATCTACAGTATCAGTATCTGGAAAGTTTTCCAAACAGATGCCCCACTTCAAATAGCTGTCGCCCAATCTTGGGGCTCAGAGCCGTCAAGCTCCCTTCAAGGCAGTCTAGTTAGATGTGTATTGAGTTTTGGCGAATACTCCGCTAAAGTAAGATTTGCACATTTCCTCCTTTCTCCAAACAATATTGCTACGGTGACTTAAGGCACATAAATGTCGTCGGTAACACTGGATTGAAATTGTTCTCGTGATTATTCCACAAAGTAAAATTCCATTGTGTTTGCGGATTGTCTAGGAGCCGAGGGAATAGGTGTTTGAGACTTAACTTGGATAAAAGTGTGATAGGCTAGTATTATTTCATGGAAAAATTTGTTAATGTACCACTTTGCTCTTCCTGACGCAATTTTGGATATGGGCTCATCTTTGCACATTTTCTTCAAAAGGTTTCCTACTTCACAGCCCTGTTCCCCTACCTGATCCTCACAGTGCTGTTAATCCGATCATTGATGCTGAAGGGCTCTCTGCAGGGAATTCTCTACTACTTGACACCCAAGTTCGATCGCCTCAAGGATCCACGAGTGTGGGTAGACGCAGCAACGCAAATCTTTTTTTCCCTCGGTTGCTGTTCTGGATCTCTTATCGCAATGTCCAGCTTCAATCCTTTTAAAAACAACTGCTGCAGGTTAGTGCATGAGTAATCACTTCCATTCACTTCGGCCCTTCTCATACGCTTTTCACCTATCAAGTGCATTTTCGAGTTACACGTATTAATAATTCTAGTAGAATGGGCTACTTTAACCGCAACGCACTTCTATCGCCGTTTATGTCTCTTACCTGTGATTAGCAGTAGAAAGCGATTAGGCGATTAGTGTCACCTAACCCAGAGTTGCACATATGAGTAAATAAACCATCCGGCACAAATATTTTGAAAATATCCACTATGCCTAACAGTACTAAAAATGTAAAATTTTGAGTACATTTTATTCATTTGCATGCGAATTCTTCAAGAACTGTTCATTTTTTACAAGTATCCTCGCATAAACTAAAAAAATGCTTGCAAGAACAGTTCAGTATTCAGCCGATTTAATTGGCTGTAAAATTTGTGGGCCAATTTGAGAAAAGCAGCAGGAAAACTGTATTGTACGTAAGAGCATTCAACTAGAAATCCGAGCTATAAGCATTAATCAAACCTTCTGTCAAATTTCCGCCACCACAGTCTTGATACATTAGGAAAAC